GGAGTCTCAGTGGCCAGGGAACCCAGACCAAAATGTCACAAAGCTCTCTTTCTCCAGATGATCCTGAAGTGAAAAGGAATGTCACTGTAAGTGTGATGAGTATTGAGGGTTGTAGTCCTGTAGTTCTGGATGAGCTGCAGAGGTCGGATGGCGCAAGCAGGTAGACCAGCCAGTTATGTTATAAATGTAAAGTATGGTCTCCAGAACATAAAAGCTGCCGGATGATAACCTGCATGCGTTTGGACATTTACACAATTAGCATAAATTGCATTAATTAGCATTATAGTCTGTTGACAATTATTAAAAATGGACTTGGTTGATCAGGACAATTTTGACAGTCCCCTGTAACCAGAGAGGCCAGAAGGTGGGCTGGTTGTGACACATTTTGGGTCAATTTTGAAGTTAACGGGGACTCTGGACAGATTGCTTATATAGTTTTAAAATAATTGTTCACCTTGTGCTCTCTATCCAATGATCACAACACTCCTCATGGTAATCAGAATCAGACCATGCAGAGTCAGACTGCACCACTTTCTGGTTAAGACTGACATTTTTTTATCCTGAAAATGTCCGGGCTGGAGTCCAAAGCCATTTTGTAACTATTGTCTGAATATGTTAATTTATTGTTCCATTTGACAGAATCATAAATCCTCAATGTGTCCCACCACGGGGAAATGCACATGAATACAACAGCAGATAAAGTGACGAAAGAAATAAAAAAATGGCTAAGTATGCACACGTTATTAAAAACAAAATGAGACAGGAAGCACCTGGTGGAGGGGGAGGGAGGAGGAGTGATGGGAGCTCCTGATTGGCTGGGAGGAGATCCCAGGATGATGTCGCCAGAGTCAACTGTTGGGGGACAACGAAAACATGACATCTATATAAATATATGTAACCAAGCTCTCCAGAGAGCAACTTAACAAGAATGTTGGATTCAATGTTGATGTAATGCTTTTCCTTTATCAAGATAAGATTGAAATGCTGAATATCATAGAATTATTCCGTAGTTATAAAAAGCTCTTGTGTCTTTGTAATGGTTTCCAGTGTGTCTGTCTACAAACTAACGCATTACGTTTTGCAAATAAGAAACGTGTGTCAGACAAACACAATACACGTTTCTAATAAATCATATTTAGCGTTAGGGTTAGCGTTTTGTATTTTCTAACCACTGTGTTTGTTAGTGAACCATAAGGCATTTGTAAAACTTGTTTAGTTTGTGGAGTGATGGCAGGAAGTGAGCTCCGTACTTCTGAATAGAAATGAGTAGTAAAGCTTGAAATCAAGTTTAAATGAAGACATGCGTTAAACCTGCTAAATAAAGATACATAATAAAATGAATGAATAGAGGACAGGTGAGGCGTACGTGAGATGGAGCGGAGGTTCTGCTCCACGATGCCAACCTTCACCACCTGACACACACACACACACACACACACACACACACACACACACACACACACACACACACACACACACACACACACACACACACACACACACACACACACACACACACACACACAGACAGACAGACACACACACACACAGACACAGACACAGACAGACAGACAGACACAGACACAAACAGACAGACAGACAGACAGACAGACACAGACACACACACACACACACAGACAAACAGACAGACAGACAGACAGACAGACAGACACACACACACACAGACACACAGTTTGGATGATGTTGTAAGATGTAAAAGTTTAATTCACAGTTCTGTAATTATAGTCTGATAGTAATTGACATTTCCTCTTACCCCGATAAAAGGAACAAACTTCTGACAGTAGTCGTCGTCGGGGCTGAAGAACAAAATCAGATTCAAACAAAAAGCAGAAATATGAACAAATCAAACATAGTCTCTATCCGTCTCACTGTGATTCCTCTGGTGTCCACTAGAGGCTGCTGTGGCTAACTCTGCACTCAAGACGTTCGGCATTCTAATTAAAGTAGATCTTTCTTTCTTTGACATGAAGTCCACAGTGTTACTTCAGGACAGACCCCTCCCTGTGCAGCTGTAATGAAGGCGGGTCTGAGCTCTGGTCCTGACAGGCGGGTACCTCTTGTGTTTGCAGGTCAGCATGGCCTCTGATATGGGACACAGGTGAGAGACAGCCGCTCCGCTCAGGTACTGAGACACTCGCCCTGCGACACCCACAGGATCTGTCCAGCAGAGAGCACAGTTTAGACAGATGGTGCATTCAGGGTCCTAGAGCATCATCATCCCAGCCTCCCTCAGCGTTTAACAAAAATGCTCCCAGCTCTTTTCTTAAGGTTTCTATGACAGTCTTGTTATTGTTCATTTGTAAATTCAAAATGTATTTGTTCTACTGTTTATTTCTTGTCTTTTAATTTGTATTGTGCAATGCCATGTATTTTATGCTGCAACACAAACCTTTCCCAAAAGGGGATCAATAAACTATTTCTTCTCTTACACTTTGTGTGGCTCTGTCTGACAGGTGCAGAGCAAGGAGAGCCATCTGCTTACGGAGATAAAAGCTAAATCCAATGTCCGCCGACCAATCAGGTCAACCGAAGGGACTTCTCCATCTTTGTTATGATAGTTCTGGTCTGACATTTAGAGTTCAGGATAGACTGCTGCGGCCCAAAACAAGCTTCTTCTCCATTTGATATAATTACATCCTCAGCACTTTTCTGAAAACTTGAGATATTTCCAACTCATGACCTGCGGAACACTAAGGGCAGAGCTTTACCTGACGTTTGAGTATCACCTCTAAAGTAAGGAAATTGAGTTTGGTTTCGCCTCAGCACGCTCAGCTTACACTGAACTGTTTCAATGTGCTACGAGAGAGTTGTTGCCTCGACAATAAAGGAGCGTCTTCTGAGAAAGTCTCTGTTGGGAACATCCTGAGTGTCCTCTTCCAACATGAGAGCAACATGCTAACCAAGGTATCAACTGTAGCTGTGAACATGACAGGATGTGTGATTACCTAGAAGAGCATCAGGACTGTTTGAGGCATATGATAGCTATGTGATTAACATGATGATTCAGCCTCTATGGAGAGAGACATATGACAAGCATGATCATTTCTGACGTGGAGCTAATCTGAAGTAAACATTGAATACTGCTTTCTATTCCTCCATCTTGTGACTGTGGAACTCCCTCTCTTGGATATCAGCATGTGAAGGACACTGTTCAGGAACTAGTTGATGCTCTGTATGTGATGACTACTTCCATTCTGGAGAGGATCACAGATACATGGATCCTGAGGTTCAAGCTCAAG